TGAACTAGATTTGCAGACATGTAAAATGTTTTTCACAGTACAGTAGGATTAGCCGTGTTACTTGTTCTCTCATTTTGCAAATTTTACCAAAATAACGTTCGGTTAGTCTAAAGGATTTTTCTGCGCACCATTCTGTATTATTGCGTTCGCCAATTGTGTTTTGTTCGATTAAAAAGACATCAACGTTTGAAAGTTTTTTGAGAAATACTTTTTACGCTGTGACATATCAGGTATTTCAACTGCTTCGTTATTAGCACTGGGCGGAAAAATATCTTACGGATGCAATTCCCCAGTTGAAGCAAGGTGTGTTTTACGGCGAGTAGCGGGGACGCTTTGATCTGGTCCACAAGGTCGTAGCCAGTGCGTCGCTTGGAGTGTTTACAGCTTGTTAAAAAACTACTTCTATATTACTATATTACTTCAAATAAAAATACTCGATGCCCTTTTTAATTTTTCAAACACATGACCACAGATTTGTGATCTTGAAATGTTATATTATGTTGATATAGTCCAAAAGAAAAATATATTTGTAATCAAACTATCGCCGCGACAGCACTGGATCGAGCGTATGAAACACAATTCCGCGCGTTGGTTATTAGATACATCGTCGCCCGAGAACTTATATGATCCACAGACCGGAGCGCGCTCAGGCCAATGTCGACTCTATAAGCCTCCAGAAATTCTGCGAGAAATAGTTATTATTTAGATGCTTTTGTTTACACACGTCTCACATGTTTCACTCGACTTTGACACTCAACTATTAACTAAGAATTAATACTTTCACTGCGTTTGATACTAACGTCCTAAATTAGCAATACTAGTGGAACAGTAATCATGCAATAGATTTTTTTGGGAAAGTACAGTTATTTTTATGTTTTAGCAACAATGTGTTCTATTTTCTATTAATTTTGACATATTTTTAGTCACTATTTTGGTAGTTATTTTTTACTTTTATTTTTAGCAATAATAAATAGTCCAAACATGAAAAAATCAAACAAAAAAAATTGAAAAAATCTAAAATTTAGAAATCGAGAAATTGAACAATCGTATAATTGAATAATCGAAACATCGAAAAACTGGAAAATCGAAAAATTAAAAAAAATGGAAAATCAGAAATTTAATGAATTCCGAAAATTGAAAAAGTGAAATATACATAGAAGAACTGAAAACTCGAGAAATCGAAAAATCTAGAATTTTAAAAATCGAAAAATTAAAATATCGAAAAGCTGAAAAATTGCGAAATCGTATCAGTGAAACATCGGACAATTGAGAAATCGAAAAATAAAAAAAATGGAGAAATCGAAAATTTGAAGAATGGAAAAATTGAAAATGTCAAAAATTAAAATACTGAAAAATTGAAACATCAAAAGTTGAAAAATTTAAAAACCGAAAAGCCGAAAAATCTCAATAATGTATTTATAAACCACAAGTTCAGGATTATGCTACTAAATTATTGATAACGTCATCTCAAAATTTTGTTGAATAAATTCTACTAAAAATGTGCAAAATATGATGAGTTTTTACTTGTAATTTATCATTGCATTCACATTTTTTTAGATTTGCTTATATAGCTAGGTGGCTCAAAAAAATTAATGAATGAGTCAATTTATTCTATTGATTAAATCAGTCTCGACTCACTCCATTTTCTCAGAAATTTTTGGAATAGTGTTATTTTTAATAAGTTTGCCTCAAGTTGTGTCATGGTAAATATTTGTATAATGGCAATTTTAAAACCTATAATTTCAGAAAAGCTGATTTTTATCAGTTGTACAGCTTACTCCTGAACACAGACTGGTCCTTTATTACTAGCTGTACTGATGTAGACATTGCGTGCTCCTTTTTTTACTCCAAATTAAACAACATATTTGAGTTGTCAGTTCCTAAAAGCAGACGATTCAAAAAACGTCAATACCCACCATGGTTTAATCGCCACATTATTCAAAAACTTAAGCTAAAATGGAAACTTTGGGCTATTCATAAACGTAGTAATGATGTTGAATCCTATAATAAATTCAAAAATTTAAGAGCTGAGATTAAAAATGAGATCAAACTGTCCCATATCGCATACATGCAAAACATCGAAAGCAATATTCCTTCTGATCCGAACCTTTTCTGGCAGTATATTAAGAGCTTTAAACAAGAAAATCTCATACCGAATTCGATGACGTACAACAATAAAATTATAAACGGTCCTATAAACATCGTTAATTCATTTGCTGACTTTTTTCAGCAATCTTTTATCCCATCTGATCCCTCTGTGCAATTTTCTCCTATCACTGTACCTCAGTTTTTAGAAAATTTTTCAGTGAAGAAGAGGTTCTCCACATTCTGCAAAAGATGAAAAACAAAATGACATCTGGGCCTGACGGCATCCCGTTTTTTCTATTAAAGGATTGTGCAAGCGTCCTCGCTTTTCCATTAATGATTATCTTTAATCTTTCGATTAGTTCTGGAATATATCCTACCCTTTGGAAAGAGTCATACGTTTTTCCTGTCTTCAAAAAAGGAAACATAAGCGAAATAGAAAATTATCGGCCCATAACGTTGCTGTGTAACTTTTCTAAAGCATTTGAAACATTATTACATAATGCTATTGTTCATCATATTGGAACATATATCACCCCATTACAGCATGGCTTCTTCAGAGGTAGATCTATTGAGACTAATCTTTGTTGTTTCACTCAATTTGTTGCAGAATCATTTGATACTGAAGCCCAGGTTGATTGTATTTATACCGATTTCTCAAAGGCATTTGACAGATTAGACCACTTTAAGCTACTAAATAAATTAAGCTCTTTCGGTATATCAAATGCATTTATCAAATTATTCAAATCCTATTTAATTGGTAGAACGCAAACTGTCACTCTTAGTGGTTTCCACTCGGATCAAATACATGTCACCTCGGGGGTTCCACAAGGGTCAATTCTTGGGCCTTTGTTTTTCATTATGTTCATTAATGATATAGTATCTAATCTGGATTCTCAATGTCTTTTATATGCTGATGACCTGAAAGTATTTAGAAAAATATCATCTTTTTCAGACCACCTTAAACTTCAATCTGATTTAAGAAAAATTGAAGTAATGTGCCTCCAAGAAGGGCTTCCTCTAAATATTTCGAAGTGTGGTGTAATGACGTTCTCATTGAAACATAATAATAGCATTTATATGTACCATGTAAGTGACTCGGCGCTTCAACGGTTTGTCACAATTAAAGATTTGGGAATCATTTTTGATACAAAGTTATCATTTTCAGAACATTATGATTCAATAGTAGCATCAGCGCTAAGAGCTTTAGGATTCATAATTCGAAGCAGCAAGCATTTTCAGAACAACAAGACTCTCCTCTGTTTATATTTTGCATTCGTGAGATCAAAATTAGAATACGGTTGCACTATTTGGTCTCCCGGTTATAATACGCACTGCCTCAAAATAGAGAATTTACAACGCAAATTTTTAAAATTTCTCCACTTTAGAGCATTCGGTTTTTATCCGGACAGAGGTTTTCCTCATGATACTCTGCTATCCATTTTCTCAGTTCAGAGGTTAAAAATGAGACGTGTTATTTTGTCTTTATGTTTTCTCTTTAAGCTTGTAAATGGTAAAATTGATTCAGACGTACTATTGGGAAAATTGTCTTTCTTGGTACCTAGACTTAATACCAGAAATCCAGAATGTTTTTACGTTGAATTTTCAAGAATAAACGTACATATGTTTTTACCTATTGTCACTATGTGTCGTAACTATAATTTATACAGAAATCATTTTGACCTATTCAACAGCAGTATCCGCCAAATTAAAAGTTTGCGTTTATAATTTTGAATTAATTTTCAATTTTCTCTCTTTTTTTTTTCTTAATTCTTTCCCATCCTTATAAATGGTTTATCTGTTAGGATGGCTAAATAATAATAATAATAATAATAATAATAATAATAATAATAATTTAGTCTAATCCACATTGATTTACGTGTCCTTGCAAAATGTTGATGATTTCATCACAAAATTGTGTAGTTAAATTGTACTAAAGTAAAAATTTAACTCGAAAATGCTGGATATGTTTCATTGTATTTTAGGTGCGAGGGAAGTTCTCTCGAAACAATTTTCCACCAATTTTTTTTTGCTGTTATATTTGAACATAAACAGTTTATTTTATATATTTTTAAAACATTATAAAAAAAATAAAAAGTAGTGTTAGACTGAACCTTGTGGGTTTCTCAATCTATTTTCCGCAGCATTTTAAACTTTCAACTCAATTTCTTTCAAAATACATACAAATGGATTTCGATGGTTATTTCCCTGTATCTTTCATTTGAAAATAAATAAGCTTATCTGGTGTTGTTTACCGATTTGCATTTTATGACGGACTTCCTACAGTGACCATAATCTCTCCTCTCTTGGGTCGCTACCTGCCGTGGATCGGTACTTTGGGTTGCACAGTTACAAAAAATAAATCTTCTCACTGAAACCGATTTTTCGGGCGACGACTGGGGACCCTTAAATTCCTAAGTCTGATTGGATATTTAATTTTTAACAACTCAGTCATTAATTTTTCTGAGACAGCCTGTATAAGTAACTTAAAAAATATTAATTATATGTACAGTAAAAATAAAACACAAGTGTAGACTCATCATACTTTGCACATTATTTTATGATAGGATATTCAACAATATTTTGAGGTGACGTCATTAATTTTTTTGGTGGATGAGTATACCTAATCTTCAACACCTATTAAATGGCTATTTCTCACTCGTGGAACGGTCCCCTTCGCCTTCGGCTCGAGAATGTTCCATAATATACATTTTTTGCTGTTGTAAATTCGATGGACTCGGTACGCCACTGGTTGATGTATTTCAAACACCACTGTGACATTAGTGTTGACAGCCAGGGACTACCGCTGCATTCGGCATATTTCCTTTAGTTAGGTGCTGTTTATGGTCTTTGGCCGGAGACGTCACTCATTTGATTAATTAATTAAAACAAAGAGTTAAACGTACACGTAGTAATTAATCGTGTGCTTTATTTTTATAAAATTCATGGTCAACTGTATAAACCTTTATAAACCTTATTGTACCAATGTATATATTAATATATGTATATAATATAAAGTTATAAAAATTTAAAAAAACTATCCATTTTATATCTGTTTCGCCACAAGATAAGATATAAAGATTGATTAGATTTCGTAGTACATAGTCTCATTATTGAACACACAGTAGTCATCAAAATGTTACAGAGCTTCAATCATAATTGCGATACCTTGACCACCTCCAATACATGCTGATCCAATCCCCAATTTTGCCTGTCTGCGTCTACAAAATTTTAAATTAGGCGCCGTTATATTTCAAAAAACTGAATAATACCTCAACTCATGAACCAAATGGGCTGTAATTCTCGAACCAGAAGCAGCCAATGGGTGCCCAATAGCGATCGCTCCACCATCAACATTTAGTTTGTTAAGGTCAAGTTTTAAATTCTTAGCACATGCCAGAGCTTGAGCACCAAATGCTTCATTGATCTGGATAAATCAAATAAAATAAAATACACATATTTGTGTAACTTAATCAACCTATACCTCAACTAAATCAATATCATCCAAGGATTTTCCAGTTGCTTTAAGAACATTCTGTATAGCCGGCACTGGTCCTATCCCCATAATGGTAGGATCAACACCAACTACAGAAAATGCGACAATTCTAGCCAGAGGTGTCAGATTATGTTTAGTGGCAGCTTCTTCACTAGCCACCACAATAGCGCCAGCACCGTCACATATCCCCTAAAACACGTCTTCATAAAACAAAGACAATACAAGAATTTAAAACATACAGAAGCCGAACCTGCAGTGACCAATCCATTTTCTTTAAACAACGTAGGAAGTTTTTTAAGGCCTTCTAGAGTGGTTTCAGGGCGCGGATGTTCATCTACATCAACAATTGCACTCCCTTTTTTAGCCTTGATGGTGACAGGCGCAATTTCTTCCTTAAAACGACCAGCGTCTTGCGCTGTTAAATAAAAAATATATTACACTGCAATTATAAAGCATGATCAACTTAGTACCAGCTTTCCAATTGTGTTGTGATTTCAAAGCAAATGCGTCGACTTCATCTCTGGTGATGTTGAACTGAGCCCCCAATTTTTCAGCTGTGAGGGCCATCGGCATTTTACAGTATGTATCAGTCAAACCAAGCCAAAGAGAATCTTCCAAGACGACGTTCTGACCGAGTGGAACCCCAAAACGAATATTTCTTGCGATATGTGGAGTTTGTGACATACTGTCTGCACCACCAGCCAACGAAATTTGACTAACTCCTGTTTGAATATCCTAGAAAAAGTATTACAATATTTTAAAATCAGAGTACTTAACACAATATTACCTGCACCGCGTTTACAATTGACTGAAATCCTGACCCACATAACCTGTTTACGAGGAAAGCTGGGCGATCTTGGGGAATGCCGCATCTTAAGGCTGAATGTCTGGGTATGAAGGCACCATCAGAAGACGATTGCTAAAACATCGTTTTATACCTTTTTTTTCCGGAACAAAATGGTCGTGAACTTACAGTAAGAACATTACCAACAATCACTGTATCGATTAACTCAGGTTTCACATTTGCTGCAGTTAAGGCTGCTTTTGCAGCAACTGTTTGTAATTCTGTAGCAGACGTTTTTGTAAATTTTCCTCCATATGTACCAAAAGGTGTGCGTTTTGCTCCAACAATAACGATACCTGCAATGAATTTGACAAGTTTTAAAATTCAACAAAGTAGGTTAATTAATAATTTGTTTAAAAATTGTTTTTACCTTTTACCACAGAAGTCATGATTATAATCGATTGTTTTGTTTTTTTTAATGCGGAAACTAACTACAAAGGTGTTTCAAATGGTTATAAATCTACCCGTTTCCGTACGTTCTCGGTTCCAAACAGGTTATAAGTTATACTTCAATAATTATCTCAAAGTTAACTGTATTATGGTATAAAGTACAAAGGTCTAAAAAGTTGAAAGTAATGATGCCATAACAAAAGATTATAAAGATAATAGACTATGTAACATAACGTTTAACATTGTAACATAATAAACAAAAATATAAAGTGATTAGGAAAATATTTCTCCTTTTTCATCACTGCATCAGAATAAATTACTATTAAACTGTTTTTTTTCTTATTATTACTTTTTTAACATGAATCTCCATTTATTGCAGTGTTTTATTTTTACAAAAAAATAAATAAATATTACACAATTTTAAATTAGCGCTTTGTGACGTAACAGTTACTAAACTTATTACTATTGGTTGTGGTGGAAGGGGACAGCGAGATTTACCAATAAAAATGAGTTAAAGGCACGCGCCAATTTTAAAACAATTAAACCGATGCATTAATTATTGTTCATTGATATATTCAAATCAGAAACAGCACATCCCACTTTCACAATGTGGGAAAACAGAATGGTAATTTTTTAATCATGTAATGTATTCTGTTTATAAACCCCAAAAAATTGATTACGTCGTCTCAAAATTTTGTCGAATAAATCCTTTCGAAAATGTGAAAAATATGATCAGATTATACTTTTTTAGATTTGCTTATACAGAGTGAGTCAAAAAAATTAATGAATCAGGCAATTTATTTATTTTTCTCTCTTGTCACATTATTATTTCTTTTCTGGTAATTGGTAGCTCTCCTAAGAAATTTCTGTTGAGAGAGTTGGTAGAAGTTGATTTGGTTGCTAAAGGGGTGAAAGGCGTCACTTTTGGTTGTTTGGTGTGAGCGAAATCACGTGGTGAATTAGCTGGGTTAAGTTTAGTTGGTTTAAATCGGACCTATTGCAATGCTACTGTTTTCCCCAACAAGCGTAGCTAATTCTTGCGGTTTTTCCAAGCGGAAAATGCGGATTTTGTTTTGTTGTGTGTAAATTCACAGTTCATGTTAGGATTTTAATCGTTAACTAGTTCCAACACATTTTAAGAGTTGTTTATCAAGTTTTAAATAAGGTTTCTGTATGGTTATACTTAAGGCTGTTTACCAGTGGAAATGAAGACAGTGCAGTTTTTACAACGCTACAACTTTTTTATTTTCATATTTAACAAAATTATAAAAACATCATTGTTATTTTGTGTTTTCCCTTAGGGCGGTACAGCAGCCTTTTTTCCTTAATTTTAATGATTTACCTAAAAAAATAGTAAAGTAAATTAACTAAAACTTTACGACCGTGTAGTATGTTAATGCAGTAACATTGTAATTAACATTCATTTTTTCTAAATGTTATAAAAACATCAGTGTTCCCATATGCCAGAATTCAATATTTTCCTCAGTTTTCAAGGTTTCTAGGTCTTCCACAATTTTGACATTTCTAGACATTTCCAGATTTTCTAAAATTAATAGACCTCAATAGAAATTTTTGGAATCTGTGGAATCTTTAGAATCTTTGAGATGTATAAAATAATAATTAGGGTGTTCAAGACCCCTAATACTTGTAAGATTTATAAAAATTGAAGGAAGCATTCTTCAGATTTTTTGGATTTTTGTTTGTTTAGAGTCTTTGGGAATCTTTAAAATTTTTGTCATGTTAAAAGTTCATGCGTTTTTTACAAATTACAGAATCTTTGAACCAAATAATTTTAAAGATCTTTTTAATGTTTGAGCCCTTGGAATATTTAGAATCTTTCAGGTTTTCAGAGTCCTTAGAGTTTTAACAATCTTTGGAAATTTGGATACTCTAGAATTACTGGAAATTTTATAAAGTTTATAATTTTCATAATTTCTAGGAACATTAATTAATACTTCCAAATCTTTGCAATTTTTAAGATATTTTTGGATGTTTTTTCTATTTAGAATCTAAAACTTTAGTTTATTTATTTAGCATCTTTGGTGTCTTTACAATTCGCAAATTCTAGTGTGTATGAAAACGCCAAGATTTTTAGAATGTGTCGAGTCTTTAGAAATTTTGAAAGGTTTGAAACCTTTTCAATATTTCAAACATTTGGAAAGTTTGGAATTTTTAGAATGTCTACAATCTTAAGATTTTGTAAACTTTTGAAATTTTGATATTTAATATTTTTTTATTTTCTTTTATTTTTTGGGAATCTTCGTAATTTGCAAAAAAATTTCAAAATTTCTAGAATGTTCAGATTTTCTAGATTAACTCAGATTTTAAGATTTTCCAAAGTACATAAAATGACGTGAATTTCCACATTTTCCAAAATTTCTAAAATGATCAGGCTCTAGTTATACCAGAATTTTGAAATTCAACTTTTTCCGATATTTTCAAGATTTCTAGGTCTACCATCCCACTCTTTCTAAATTTTTTAAGATTTTCTAAAATTTATAGATTTCAAGAGTCCAAATGTTTGGAATTTTTGGAATCTCTGGAACCTTTACCGTTCCCAAGATTTATAAGATAATTATAAAGGTGTTCAAGGCCTTCAGTGCTTTTAGGATTTATAAAAATTACAGAAAACATTTTTCCGATCTTTACGATTTTTAGGTCTTTCAGGTTTTTGTTTTTTAAAGTCATTGGAATTTTTAAAATCTTTGACATTTTAAGAGTTCACGCAATTTTTACAAGTTTTAGAATCTTTGGCTTTGGGAATTTGTCTAGAACCTTTAGAATCTTTCAAGTATTCGAAACAGAATTTTAGCTTTTGACCTCTTAGCGTCCTGAAACCTTCAATTCGTATTATACGTAGTCTTCTTTTCACGACAAGAAACTTAAAACATTTTACAATTACGCTCCGCCCCTCAACCTGACAAGGAATGAAAAATTCATCGCAATTGAGATCGGGGCAGTTATAGGTGACATTTAATCTTCGGCTTTCTTTTTTACTCAAAACATAGTTTCTTTAAAAAACACGATTACTTAAGAACATGTTTCACTTAGCAATTTTCTGTAGAAAATATGGATTTTGCAGTTAAGCTCCGCCTCCCGACTTACGACAAATAAAAAAAAATCATCACAATCGAGATAGGATGAGTGGGCGGGGCTTATATATATTTTGCTTCTCTTTTAACATACGTAGCCTTCTTTTCACAACAAGAAACTTATAACCTGTTCAAAATAGTACATTTTTCTGGGGAAATATGAATTTTGTAATTATTTACGCTTCACCCCTCGGTCTAAGAATGAATGAAAAATTCATCAAAATTGAGATCAAGCTGTTTTTAAATATAGTTTTTTTTTAATAACACGATAATTAAACATGTTTTTCGTTTCTTGTAAGAAAAAGAAGACTACGTATATTAAGAAAAAATGGACAAAATATAAGCCCTCCACCCACCCAATCTCAAATGTGATAATTTTTGTATTCATTGTGAGCCGGAGTGGCGGAGATTTGTGGCAAAATCCTCATTTCTCCACAAGAAATTACCATGTGAAATATGTTCTCAAAAGGGTAAAATTTTGTAGAAATATGTATTTTGCAAATAAGCTCCGCCCCCGATTGAGATAGGGTCGTGGGTGTGATTTATATTTTGCCCTTTTTTCTTAATGTACGTAGTCTTCTTTTCACAACAAGAAACTTAAAACATATTCAAAATGGTAATTTTCTATAGCGAAGTACGGATTTTGCAATTAGGCTCCGCCTCCCGGCTCACGATGAATAAGAAAAATCATCACAATTGAGATTGGGTGGGTGGGCGGGGCTAATATTTTGTACTTTTTAACATACATAGCTTTCTTTTCACAAGAAGAAACTTAAAACCTGTCCAAAATAGTAAATTTTTGTGGGGAAAACTGGATTTTATAATTACGCTGCACCCCTTGACTTAACAACCAATGAAAAATGCATCATAATTGAGATCGGGACCTTTTTTAATATAGTCTTCTTTGAACAACACGATAGTTAACCATGTTTCTTGTAAGGAAAAGAAAACTACCTAAGTATGTTGCGAAAAAATGGGACAAAATTTAAGCCCCACCCACCCGCCCTGTCTCAAACCTGATGGTTTTCTATATTCATGGTGAGCCGGAGTGGCGGAGTTTAGTTGCAAAATCATTTCTCTACAACAAATTACCATGTGAAGAATGTTTTTAAAAGGGTAAAATTTTGAAGAGAAATATGAATTTTGCAATTACAATGGGGCAACTATAGGGGTTTAATCTATGGTTTTCTTTTTTACTTAATAAATGTATGTAGTTTTCTGTGAGCAATAAGATTATTTAAAAACACGTTCCACATTGAGATTTTCCGTAGAAAAATATGGATTTTGCAATTAAGCTCCGCCTCCCGGCCCACGACGAATAAAAATGTCATCACAATTGGGATAGGGTGGGTGGGCGGGGCTTATATTTTGCTTCTTTTTTAACATACGTAGCCTTCTTTTCACAACAAGAAACTTAAAACATGTCGAATATAATACACAATAGTTAAACATCTTTTTCGTTTCTTGTAAGGAAAAGAAGACTACGTATATTAAAAAATGGACAAAATATACGCCCCTCCAACCCACCCTTTCGCAAACGTGATGATTTTTTTTATTCATAGTCTTTAAAACCTTTTTTGTTTTATTTACAACTTTGATACCATCAGGTTAAAACAGCATTATTATTTTTATCAAATTCAATGACAATTCAAAGCTAATTGTTTTAAGTAACCAATCACTTGGATCAAGGCATCATTTAACATAATGTAAATTCTTTGCTTGAATCGTTGATAAAGTGTGGCATAATTTAATATCAGGTAAATCCTTTGTTCTGGTAGCGCCCATTAAATTGTTTGATGTTCAATCTTAATCTTAGATAAGAATTCTTTGTTGTTTAAAATTTCGCGAGCGTGTATGGCGAATTTAAATGTTGTTCATTGCTCTTTTTGAAACTTTAACACTTGTTCAGTTATAGTTTAATATCACAGTTGTAGAAATTGAACATTTAAATGGAATTGAGGTAAATAACACGATAACACGTGGTGGAAGCGGAGTGCGCGGTTCCTTGTCGAGCTGCACAAAAGACGCAGATCTTGTAATAGCAGCCAGGAGAGCAGTCGGGATGACGGGACGCTCACGGTATGGCCCAATGAGTGTCTAGCTGATATTCTTAAAGAAGTTTTTAAGAAAATCAGTGCAATTGGTTTGAAGGTTCATTCTATAAGCTCAGAATGGGATCGGCGAATCAAGCTATGTGGAAAACCCTTGGAATAAAAGCTGAAAGAAAATGCGAAACAAAAAATTATGTCCTAAACCCAGTTAATGGCGAAAAAATTTACTTTTTAGCTGATGGGCCACATTTATTAAAAAACATAAAGCAATGTTTGGTACAGAACAAAATCATTCAATTACCAAATGATTTTGTTGAAAAATATAAACTAACTTCTGATTTGGTTGACGTGCAAGACATTAAAGATTTTTGTGAAGAAGAAGGCAAATTTGAGCTGCAATTTGTGTCTAAATTAAATGTGGATCTTTTACGATCTAACCATTTTAACAAAATGAAGGTGTCAAATTCTCTAAACGTTTTGAATCGAAATGTTAGTTGTGGGATAAAATTTGATGCGAAAGAGGAGAGAGAAGACAAATTCTCTCTCTTCTCTAACGACAGCTGTTTTTATTGATGTTGTACATAGGTGGTTTCAGTTGATTAGTTCTAGATCAACTACTTTGGCCTTGAGCAAGTTTAATGTGCTTGTCTATACCTAGTTCCTAGTTCAATTGTAGCCCCTATTTAAAATTTTCCTAGTAACGCCACTGACCTTTTGGCATTAGTTTTAGATCAAAAATTGCTGCCACTTGTCAGCTCTACTCTTATCATTATACTATTTAGGTACACTAGATAAGACCAATACCTTCTAAAAGATAATGTTAGCCCTCATTGTTTATCATTCACTGTGATTTTTTTAAAATTAAATTCAAACTTTTAGTACTTGGTTAATCGTCCAGATGGCCCTCGTAAACTTGTATTTTTACCGATAAAACAGTATTCTTAGTTATCATTGTCAGAATTCGATGAGTCCTTGAATTTCCTCAACCCCGAAGTGGATAGTTGATGAGAGTTGAATTTTGTTTTGTGGTTGCAAGAGCGGGTTGTGTTTTGGTTTTAAACAAGTTCCGGAAACTTGCTTTTCTGTTTCATAATGGTATGACCTTCCTATTAATCTTATACACCCATCACTCCATATTTTCTTACTTTAACTAAAAAATAGCGATTTTTGTTTACATTTTACTTTGTCGGTTTCGCATTGAGGTTATGTTTGTTTTTACTGCATTGTCATCTTTCAAAAATTTGTAATTTAAACGCATTTTAGGCTCGACGATATGACACAAGAACAACAATATTCTCACCTGAAGGTAAATATCAAAGTAATGAATAAAAACCGAATTATTGATTGTTACTTATAGGCCGACTCTACCAAGTGGAATATGCTATGGAAGCCATCAGCCATGCAGGTACTTGCTTGGGTATTTTAGCCAACGACGGCATTCTCCTAGCTGCCGAAAGACGTAATACCAATAAACTGTTGGATGAAGTGTTTACTTCTGAAAAGATCTATAAACTTAACGAGTAAAGTTAATCTGGTGAAGGTATTTAAATCACTACTGATTTATTTCTAGTGATATGGTATGTAGCGTGGCGGGAATAACTTCAGACGCAAATGTGTTAACCAATGAACTTCGTCTCATTGGACAAAGATACTTATTTCAATATGGGGAGTCCATCCCTTGTGAACAACTAGTGTCGTGGCTTTGTGACGTTAAACAAGCTTATACACAATATGGAGGTAAACGTCCATTCGGTGTGTCAATTTTGTACATGGGGTGGGATAAGCATTATGGATATCAGTTATACCAGTCAGATCCTAGTGGAAATTACAGTGGCTGGAAAGCTACTTGCATTGGAAACAACAGCGCGGTAAAAATCACTTGCTGAATGTAGTGAAGAACATTCATTAACTGTTTTTTTAGGCTGCCATATCCAGTTTAAAACAGGAATACAAAGAAGGTGAAATGACTTTGAATGAAGCAAAGAACTTAGCTATTAAAGTTCTAGTAAAAACATTAGATATGACAAAACTAACAGCAGAGAAAGGTAATTAGAATAATTGGGTTTTCAAACTATTAAAGTAATTGTTTTAGTTGAAATGGCTACCCTCAGTCGTATCGATAATAAAACTGTTATTCGTATTCTTACAAGTAAGGAAGTTGAGGCGCTAATTAATCAGTATGAAAAGAAAGAAACTGAAGCTGAAGCTTTGAAAAAAGAACAAAAAGGTGCATAGTATGTTGCAGTGTATTGAAATAAATAAATTTTTATTTGAGTTATTAAATTTCAACAAAGTCCATCAATTGTAAAAATCCATTTGTAGCATTGTGAATGTTGTGGCGGTATTAATCCAAAATGAGTTTTAATATACAACAAAAAAAATTGGTCTAAAGAGTTTAGACAGTACATACTTCCCTTGTTGTCAGGAACGCGTATAATATGTTGCCTATGCAAAGATTGGCGTGAACAGATAAAGTGAACACCTGTATAGTACTTGTAATAATAAATAGCCATAACACTTATCAACCTGTAGACGTGAGAGTAAAACAGAAACTAAACTAAAAGATGTTTTCTACGAATTGCAAAAACCGGATGACAATGCCGACGGTCCAGACTTTTTTTTGTTCTGACTTCTGTTTATTGAATAAAACACTACATTTTATTTAGTTTTTGGATGCTGTAATTCACATTTGGTTAATTATAACTTGTCTAGATCTAGGGGAGCATGAAATATCGAGGAATTTGAAAGTACCAAATAATCCAATGGACTCCATTACTGTACGTCCTTAGGTTATCCCCGATAAGAAAAACAACTTGTGTTTATGTTTATACATCAGAAGAATGTCACGTAGAAATTAGTTTGATTTGAATGAGTTCGTCCCCTCAAAACAGGGGATCAAAACAATTAACTATAGTAAGCTACAGGCGACAAAATGTTCTGAATATGATTATTATAACTCTTCAGGAATGAAGACGTTTGTATTTTCACATTTTTGGGGAAAATGGGGTGACTCGTTTTTAATTTAATCCATAAAAAATTGGTCTAAAGAGTTTAGACAGTACTTCCCTCGCTGTCGGAAACTTGACGACTGTATGCCTATTGTGTTTTTTTTTCTCATTACATTTTTGTAGTGGGAATTAAAAAAAAAAAATGTGATGATGTCATCAACATTTTTGCAAGGACACGTATATCAGTTGGGATAGATGTAGTGTAATACTAAGAATAAAATTATTGTATTCCCAAATTTTCGGGAAAATGAATTGGGTCGTTTTGAATATTGATTTTTATAATCAATAAAATAACGAAACAATTTACTCGCGTATACGGCAACTGAAAATCGTTTATGTATAAACATTCTTAATTTAAGATGACAGGCGTAACAGCATACGTGAGAGTCAAACAGAGAAACTGTAAACAAAACGACCATCGGTTTTATTGCTTCGACTTCCGCTTATTATATAAAACATTGGGTTTTATTTTAATTCTTGACTGTGAAATTCACAATTGGTTGATTATAAACATGTCTATTTCACATTCGCGGAACCAAGTGATCGCATAAAACAAATGCAGGTCTGTAATGTTAAAGTCGATGTAAATAAGCGATGCTACCCTTATGTTTCAACCGAGTTTTTCCTTTAACAAATTTTGTGTCTACCAAATTGGGTTGGTTGGGGTGTAATACTAATAATAAGTGTTGCCTTTAATTTAATCAATAAAATAAATTGACTTCATTAATTTTTTTGAACCACCTCTTAAGAAAATCTAAAAAATATGAATGGAATGATAAATCACAAGTACAAACTCATCATATTTTTTGCATTTTAGATAGGATTTATTCAGCAAAATTTAAGGGTGACGTCATCAATTTTTTTAGGAGGGATGAACAAATACATTTTGAACAAAAGTTTACCATGCTTATAATAACTTTAAAATATTCCCAAGATTTCAAAGCATTCGGTTTTGTAATTCCTGATTAAATCGATAAAATAAATTCACGCCTTCATTAATTTTTTTGAGTCACCCTGCATATGCAAATCCAAAAATATGAATGGAATGATAAATCACAAGTACAGACTCATCATATTTTGTACATTTTAGATACGATTTATTCGGCAAACTTTTGAGCTGACGTCATCAGTTTTTTGTAGAAGATAACCAAATATATTTTGACTAAAAATTTATTATGCTCTTTATAACCATAAAACATCTGCAAGATTTCAAAGCATTCTGTTTTGTAGTTCCTGATTAAATCAATAAAATTAATTTACGCATTCATTAATTTTTTTGAGTCACCCTGTATATGCAAATCGAAAAAATTTGAATGGAATGATAAATCACAAGAAGAGACTCACCCTATTTTGTACATTTTAGATAGGATTTATTCAGCAAAATTTTGTGGTGACGTCATAAATTTTTTAGGGGGGACGACCAAATACATTTTGATCAAAAATTTACCATGCTTATGATAATTTTAAAATATCTTCAAGATTTCGAAGCATTCGGTTTTGTAGTTCCTGAGTAAATCAGTAAAATAAATTTACGCTTTCATTTATTTTCTTGAATCACCCTGTATATGCAAATCCAAAAAATATGAATGGAGTGATAGATCACAAGTACAGACTGATCATATTTTGTACATTTTAGATATGATTTATGCGGCAAATTTTCGAGCTGACGTCATCAAGTTTTTGGAGGGGATAAGCAAATATATTTTGACTAAACATTTATTATGCTCTTTATAACCTTCAAACATCTGCAAGATGTCAGAGCATTCCGTTTTGTAGTTCCTGATTAAATCAATAAAATATATTTACGCATTCATTAATTTTTTTGAGTCACTCTGTATATGCAAATCCAAAAAATATGAATGGAGTGATAAATGACAAGTACAGGCTCATCATATTTTGTACATTTTAGATATGATTTATTCGGCAAACTTTCGAGCTGACGTCATCAAGTTTTTGGAGGGGATAAGCAAATATATTTTGACTAAACATTTATTATGCTCTTTATGACCTTAACACATCTGCAAGATTTCAGAGCATTCGGTTTTGTAGTTCCTGATTAAATCAATAAAATATATTTACGCATTCATTAATTTTTTTGAGTCACCCTGTATATGCAAATCCAAAAAATATGAATGGAGTGATAGATCACAAGTACAGACTCATCATATTTTGTACATTTTAGATATGATTTATTCCACAAACTTTTGAGCTGACGTCATCAAGTTTTTGGAGGGGGTAAGCAAATATTTTTTGACTAAAGATTTATGATGCTCTTTATAGCCTTAAAACATCTGCAACATTTCAAAGCATTCTGGTTAGCAGATTAAAAATTAAATTTCAAAATGTTGTTTTATAATTTTGATTTTTTTTCCAAAAATCTGGACGTTTCGGGTGAAAAGTCGATTCGGAGTTGTAAACTACATGTGTAGGACTATGTTATTTTATACAATTGAAAACCCATTTACTATGTACAATTTTGAAGTGACGTCATCGCATTAGTGGTGGGGATGATTAGACAAATTTTGGTTAGCGTTTTACCATCTACATGATATTCTTAATATAAGTACAAAATTTCACAACAATCGGTCGAGTACTTTCGGAGATTATCTGTCTAATAAAAATCCGGGGGCAGACGGACAGACGGACAGACGGACGGACGGACAGACGGACGGACGGACAGACGGACGGACGGACAGACGGACAGACAGACGGAAATGGGAGACCTATTTCTTCGTCTTCTAGGGGTCATGAAAGATCGAGAAAACGTAAAAGTAGAGAGTCGGCCGACGGACTCGATTACAATACTTCCTTTGCTTACGCTCGGGAAGTAAAAATATGATGAGTTTGTACTTGTGATTTATCATTCCATTCATATTTTTTAGATTTTCTTAAGAGGTGGTTCAAAAAAATTAATGAAGTCAATTTATTTTATTGATTAAATTAAAGGCAACACTCATTATTAGTATTACACCCCAACCAACCCAATTTGGTAGACACAAAATTTGTTAAAGGAAAAACTCGGTTGAAACATAAGGGTAGCACGCTTATTTACATCGACTTTAACATTACAGACGTGCATTTGTTTTATGCGTTCACTTGGTTCCGCGAATGTGAAATAGACATGTTTATAATCAACCAATTGTGAATTTCACCGTCAAGAATTAAAATAAAACCCAATGTTTTATATAATAAGCGGAAGTCGAAGCAATAAAACCGATGGTCGTTTTGTTTACAGTTTCTCTGTTTGACTCTCACGTATGCGGTTACGCTTGTCATCTTAAATTAAGAATGTTTATACATAAACGATTTTCAGTTGCCGTATACATGAGTAAATTGTTTCGTAATTTTCTTGATTATAAAAAATCAATATTCAAAACGACCCAATTCATTTTCCCGAAAATTTGGGAGTACAATAATTTTATTCTTAGTATTACACTACATCTATCCCAACTGATATACGTGTCCTTGCAAAAATGTTGATGACGTCATCGCAATTTTTTTTAAATTCCCACTACAAAAATGTAATGAGAAAAAAACACAATAGCCATGCAGTCGTCAAGTTTCCGACAGCGAGGGAAGTACTGTCTAAACTCTTTAGACCAATTTTTTTATTATTTTATTGTTAATTATTAATTAATTTATTAATATTTAAATTTAAAAAATATATAAATTACGAATATAGGAGTATTTGTTATAGATATATGAATTGCGATAATTTGAGTTCATGTTTATCACTGTTAGATAATAATCAGTTGCTGGAGTTCCCTCAAACATATAAGGCGTTTATGACTTCACACCAATTTAACTCCCATTATAATTCAATAGGCCGTCACAACCGGATGTCCTAAACCCGCTCACCGATACCTACCTGAAAAGACCTTTTCTGGTAAAAGCACAGGCCAGGACTGAGTTTTGCATTTTTATTTTTATTTTTACCGACAACTGCACCTTTCGATTTTTTTATTTTAAGTAAAAACAAAGTAACTTTGTGCTCAATCATTTTTTATTACAGCAAATTAGTTAGAATTTTGACATACACAACTATTTACTTATTAACTACTACTACTGCGTATTTATTGATCGAAATAGTCACTGTCATCATCACTCGACTCTTCTAAATTAACAATTAATGGTTTTATCAACCGTGCCCTGTACTGGTCTTTTTCTGAATTTATTCTTCAAGAAGGCACTGTGTTTTGTAGCTTCTGCTACAAACCGCATTTCTATTTACAAATATATGTTTTCGGATCATCGGCAAAATTTTTTGCTAGAATA